TCCTACTACAATTCAAAAGGTTAACTGTTTTTAGGTTAGGGTACTCAGCCCCCAAACGCTTAAGGGCTCAGGGCTTAGGGTGAAAATGTGACTTGTGTTTGCTAGGGCCGAGATTTCCAAGGGTTATTGTCTTGGGAGTCTTGGGGTGTCAGCTGACTTAGCAGAGTAGCAAGTAACGTTCACAAGGCAAGTGACGCAGCTTATGTAGCCGAGTTTAGGGGTCACGACCCTGATGGATGGCTTTTGAGCCTTCTTTAGCACGCCTTCAGTGTGGGTTATTTCGGAGACGGTTGTGGTGCTTTAGGATTTAGGGTGCTGCGCGCAGCTTAGCAGAAGAAAGATCGAATGCTTCAGGACCTCCACTTCGCAATGCAGCTACACCCAAAGGATCAGGAGACCATCAACGGCAATGTGGCTGCTCGCCCCTTATAGTCCCTTTATTACAGTTGTTACTATAGTATACCCCGAAATCCTGCTTCTTTATCAAGGCCCTTCGTTTTCTTACATGGGTCACCCAACTCCTCTACCAGCCTTTGCCAGATGTTTTCCAGCAGCCAAACACGAAGCCGAGGCCCTTCTTTTTATGGCTCTGATGCTCAGTTTTCAGACATGGTTTCAAGTTGGTACACAGTTTACGTACGTCTGAGCACATGCTCCTTTGTAGGATCGTTCGTTTCTCAGCGCTTTTTGCTCTGAGTGTTCCTGTGTGTGTGTGTGTGTTGTACTTTGTTAAGTTTGGTGATGGTGATACTATGTGATACTGGCAGCAGCTGTGGGGCTGCTGGTGGTGTGGCTGAATTAATGTCAGCGCTGGTTACTACTCAATTTCTGTTTCCGTCGTAACCATTATGATGACTTCCGCGCTGGTAATTATGATCCTGAGGCTATGCTTATACTGGTTCTTAAGGATGAGTTTTTACGCCCACTTGTAATGCATGCACGCTCAACCGCAAAAAGGCTTGCAAACTAATTATCTACCCTTCATGAAGGAACCCCCTCCTGTCTTTAAGACGCCGAAGATAAGTATCCCAGCCAGAGGGGGTTTGCTAATCAAACCCCTTAGACTGGCAGGCCCCCATGGCCCCAAGGTTAGGATCAGGGCAATGTGCGCTGCAGCCCCTGCTCAAAAAAGATGTACAGGCGTGGCTGCAGGAACTTGCGAAGGAACTAGCACAGGAGTACACAGGAGCCGCGGTGGAACTACAAGGAAGCCTAACAGGAGCCGGGGTTGCGAGTTCAGAGCCTGAAGGAGTTTAAGCGACCAGCACTGGTCTGGTGGTTTAGGTTGTTGAGGAGGTCAAGTTCATTTACCATACTCGGGATCGAAAGTAAATAACCCTTTTTCATTTTTATGGTAGCTGAAACCTTTGGCCCAAACCCTTAACCCTAAACCGCTAAACCCTAAACCCCCCAAAACCAAAAAAAACTAAACCCCCAAACTCTAAACCCTAAACCCCTAAACCCCGAACTGAGGTGAAGGTGATTCCCGAGACGCAAGCGATGGACCGAGATCCGGCGAACGAGGGCGTTGGGGCTGCGATGGGCATGCCGATGTGCCCCGGTCTTCCCTTCTAGCCTCGGGTTGAGGGCTGATTTCAGGGCTCCTTTAAGGGTTCTATAGGGGCTACCGATGTTCCATGGCTTCCGTCTTATGTTCGGGGTTTGGTACTTAAGGGCTACTGCAAGGGCTTGTTCGGGGTTCCCGATGTGTCGTGGCTTCCGGTTTTGGGGTGGTTTTTTGAAGTGTGTTTTTTTGTTTAATTTAAGGTTTCGACCGTGTCCCTAAGACTTAAGCCCCCATTCCAAAACCCCTAAACGCTGAGCCAGAATCTCCTTCACCTCCTAAACCCGTCGTAGGCCCTGAATATCCTGGTAGCTTATCATGTGGCTCCCTGATACAAATCCTTAACCAAGGGAGGGCTTTGGGGGTATAAAGTAGACCCTAAACCCTAAACTCCTAAACCCTATCTTAAGCCCGATCGTGAATCCGATGCTACGAGTCTCCACCTGACTCATGTGGGGGGGGGACGCCTATCACCTAGAAATCCCTAAACTACCATAACCTCCGTTGTTTGTAGGCTCTTGCGATGAGCCCTAATTCAGAGTAGAACCGGGCCCTACAAAGAACTAGGTTTTGCTAGTTCAAACTGGTGCGAGTAGTTTTTTTCGTACGATGATTGGTAAACGGTGGGAGTAGGAGGACAGTTCTTCTAGCCTAAACACCAAACTCAAAAACCCGAAACCCTAACACCCTAAACCCCAAAATCCTACTGCCCCAAATAAAACTGAAACTTTAAATCCCTGCAACTTCAAGTTAAAACGAAGAGTGCCGAGGACGATGCTCCAGGATGATGACCACTCTGCTGCACATTCCGTGAGCACGAAGCGCAGCTCGTCTTGAACGTGGAGGTCTTGGGGCTTAGGGTTTAGGGTTTAGGGAATTACCGAATATTCCCTATTATGGGTGATGCAGGATTTAGATCATCAACAGTAGAACATACCCTAAACCCAAGCCCTACAGCCTAAACCCTTAGGCCCAAACCCTGAAGCACGCTACTCATTTTCTGTACTTTGAACTTTCCGCAGAAGCAGAAGCCCCGGTCTGGATGTGCTCAATCAGTCCCGATCGAGGCAGACGGCGGGTCGCAGGTGGCGTGGACCTCTTCGCAGATTTGTCGCTTGATTACAGCTTTAATGCTCTTGCAGGTTGTCAGCACCCCGGTCGTTATATAGTCTTATTCGTTTGCAGAGCGTCCAGATACTTACAAACTCTCACAGGCATGGTGTCGTGGAGTTGAAATTCCTACAGTTCTTAGTGGCATACATGAAACCGAATCCACACAAGCAGAAATCTGCATGTCGCAGTGAGAGCTCTTTGCCGCAAGTTGTGCTTTCGATCTCTTGCTGTAGTGTCGAACGTCTGCTGGCTTTCGGTACTTTTACATACAGAGAAGCCTTGTCCTTGATGTCGCCCATGGTTGGGTTAGTTCTGACAAGATTGCAAAGGCTGGCCGCAGCGATAGCGATCCATGATGCACCTGCTTTAGCAGCAGGAAATCACCACCACCGTTCATTGTGCATTCCTTCAGGTTGAAGCGTTTACCCTACCTTCGTTGCAGAAGCACTTTCGTTTGAGCGTTTCCTCCATGCAGGAGTATGTGCAGTGTCCGAGTGTCATGCAGGCCCACACACGATCGAAACCTGCGCCCAAAGATTAGGTTTAGGGTTCAGGATCCTGTGCGTACTTAGCCTTGGGCATCT